CCAGGTGATCCAGGTGATCCAGGTGACCCAGGGCTTCCAGGATATCCAGATTCGCCGGGATATCCAGGGCTTCCAGGGTATCCAGGTTCGTCGGGATATCCAGGGCTTCCAGGTGACCCCGGTGATCCAGGTTCGCCATTAGGGTCTCCAGGTTGGCCAGGCTGTCCATTAGGGTCTCCAGTTTGTCCAGGCTGACCATTAGGGTCTCCAGGTTGTCCTGGTTGACCATTAGGGTCTCCGGGCTGTCCCGGACTGCCCGTATCACCATTCCATTGTCCACTATTATCGACACCGCCGGCGCCCGTCGAGGCTTCTTCGAGGCTTTAATCTCAATTAATTCAATTACTCGCCGCTTTCGTTCACTTTCCTCGTCGCTTCCTCCATTTTCGACAAATAAAATTCGATGCTCGGTACATCCGGGTCTGAGATCATCTTTCGCGTATGACACCGATCTGCTTAGGTATCGACATGTCAAAGGTAATCAGACCATACCGTACACTTTGATCGGAGCACTCGAAAAAGCTTACCAATTTTCCTGCTGGCACGAGCGCTGGTTTAAAGGTCTCAAATATAATGAGAAAGGTTGAAGGTCTTTGATAGGCCTCAGTTTTTGAAACACAGTTCTTAATGAAATTTTTACTATTTCATTCTTGTGCGACTTTCTCCTAACGATCCACTGAAATCAATTTTGATTCGTGTCTTTCTTTCAATAGCCTCCACCGAATGAGTCGCATTTGTCAAAACTCGTGTACAGCTACGGGTACAATTTTACACCCTTATTGCAAGGGTGTTTTGGCGACGCATAAAACATGGTCCGAGGATCGCGGCGCCAAGGCTGCGCGGCACAAAGCAGCGAATGGCGTAACAAAGCGAGATAAAGAGTCGGCCATTTGGAAAAATATTGGAAATCGCGAGAACGTCGAAGCCAGAACGGCGAACGGGTACAATTCGATCTGCATCCCCGTGGTATCCCCGCATAAAGAGCCCGATGCGAACGCCGTGTTCCGCTCGAGAAATCTCGCAAAAGGATCTGCTGTTCCGATACACGAAGCAAACGGGACCCAGGGCAGCAGCTCCATCTTCGTCACCGACGACGGGAGATTACTTGCTCAACTATCGCCTAACACGTCCACGCAACCGTGAAACTTCGGAGATCGGTTCCCACGAATTTTATTCGAATTTTTCCTCCAGGGAATAGTATCTCGAAGACGCCACGCTTTTAGCTGCTTTTCCTGTTCATCGAGCTTTCGTCTCAAGAATATTCGCTACACTTCCGATACCATTTATTTTACTCTATTTAGTCTCTGCGCAACCGACATTTTTTTGTTTGCTCCACTTGGATCTTAATATTCGTCCGAGCGATTTCAGACGATACCGTAGTTTCATCGATCTCCGAGGACTTTTTAATTGGCCTATCGTTTCTCGATTCGGGGACTTGGTTATTTTACAGGTTTTTACAGCGATCTTTTACAAGTTTCTTTATTTATTTCAGCATTCATCTGGCGTCGAATCTTTATTCGATTTTCTAAGAATTCAGTTCGATTAGAATTCGGTAGAATTTTGGTAACGGAGTTTAATTACAATTCGCTGACGAATCCCGTAGGATTTATCGAGACCTCTGCGATGTCTCTCTTTTTTGGGAAGTTCGATGAAAGTCTGGACCACCAGATAGTGGTTGGTTACACGACAGCCAATAATTCATCGAGATACCAACACCGATAAAAGATCCAATGGAACCGTACAGCTAAATCTACACGAGTTCGCACTAAAATTATGAGATGTCCGAGGGACTTACTGGTAAGAATTATGAGAGGCCAATAATACCTCTCGCAGATTTTAAGAGACGGCGCATGATGAATCGGTCCTCGAAAATTATTATTCTATTTGTTTTAAGGAATCAAGAGCATTTAACAGCATTCGATAAAAATATATTTAACGAGCTTATAATCGGTCCTCCTAAAGTGCTAATCGATCGATGGCAAAGTTGTAATCGATGGTTCCGGGGACAGCTCGAGATCGCTATCAGTTTGGCCCGAGGATCAGCTTAATCCGTCTCGAAAGAAAGTGCTGCTATCGCGAGATAGTAGCAGCTCGGCGGTCTAAACAAATCCCGTTAATTAGGCCGGAATCTTCGAATCTGATCATCGTGATAAGATCAAAGGGCAAACATGCGAGCGGATCCACGCAACTTAGCCATCGCCTGACCACGATCAATTAATAAGGTTCCCCAGGCCGTATCGTTTAATTACAGCCTATTTACCTTGGCGAATCATCCTGGTAATTGAGTAAGGTCGGGTTTAATCGGTCTCGTGCGGCGTTTGTCGGGATTCTGCTGCAGAACATCCTTTCCCGTTGTCCAGTTTACGCAATTACCACAATTGTCCAGTCTACAATTGATGTGGATCAATCGATTAGCTTATTGCGAACGAGAAATCCCACTGATCACTGTTCTCGATCGTCCCCGATATTTAACCCCGATCCGCTGGCGCTATATTTCACGATTTGCTGGGTCGATCTTCGATCGCGCAAAGTTCGACGCAGGATTTAATCACCGCGACGTTCATATCGCCGGAGGCTCGATCACCCGCGATCAACCAAATTCTCTTTGATCGTAACTTTCGGTTAATTCGGCCATACATATTGATACTCGAATCGCTGTGCGCTGCCATCGGCAGTCTAATTACGTCCGTAACACGCAAGATACGTTTATTTCACTATTTTTTGTTTGTACCGCGTACGCGTAACACCGCGCGCGACGATATTTTTAAATTCAGAACACTTCGAGAGGAAAGAGATTTCTCGGAAATGGAGTTCCGAAGGTGGCGAATGGTTCCGGCTGCTAAAAATTCTATGCATTTCCCGCGGAGCAAACACGCCCGACAACCGTGCGAACTTCCTGCATATTCTCGGAGAACATACCTAAACTAGGAGGAACTCGGGCCGCAGAATCCGCGTAGAGTTCGATTAAATCATTCGCAGCCGACAGGCAGTAAATTTTCCATTTACCGACGCACCGACGACTATGCATCACCCTCGCCTACCTGTTTGCTCACGCTTTGCCACGGGAGGGGAAATTGATTTCCAGCTGCAGAACACCGGACGGTGTCCTCTGGTTTTCCGGTTTCGCGTGAAGGACACGCTCGAGGGTAATATTCCGGGGACGGCGGACGAATCGCCGAGGGAACATCGGAAAAAAGGAAAGTCCGACGGAAAGTCGTCGAAGAACTTGCGGCTCGACGACGCGCTTCGACCGCAAGAGCAATTACTGATAGCCGAAGGAGCTCTCGAGAAATCATCGCATCCCGAATGTTTCTCGTTCTCGGATCTCGACGAGGATATGCGGTTGCTGGTGCCCGAGGCCAGAAAGGTATCGGTTTCCTGAGAGTCCGCTGTTTGTGGAAACATGAGAGCTTCCTCTGAGATAAGTAAAGTTCTTACTTCGATATTTCCACGCCGATGGAAATACATGAAAATGCCGCGCCGACGTTCACGATGCAATCTGAAAAAGGAATGCGAAACACGCTGTTTTTCCGCTCGGAAGATACCCGCGCGCATCCGTTTGCTTTTTAATATCTTCCTTCCGCTCGGTAGACCGCGGTTTACTTGTCCAGAAAGTTTTTCAATTTGTTTCGATCGCTGGTAGATTTCAGTTTTTATTCGATCGATTTCAGCGTCGTGTTAAATCATTTTATCCTCGTCTGTAATTTATGGTCGCCGCTAAAAACTAACATTTCTGTGGAATTTTACGGCTTGAAAAATCGTTTTCGCAGATGGAGTTCGGTGTACGTTTCCAACGACCGAAAAACGAGCTCACGGACAAGGAAAAATCCGAAGAAAAGTCCGCGAAGAAAAAGAGGAAAGCTAAAGAATCGACGAAAAAGGAAGGCGGCGAGAAATTAAATTATTGCTACGTGGCTTTCGTGGAGGTAACTTTAGGGGGCTTGGTACACGTGCAAGACTTTGTAATCATATGCTCGGTGAAATAGAGATTTATGCTCCGATTCTGGGTTCCATTTCATTGTGCGGCTGGTCTTAATGAAACTCCGAGAATAATTTCCAGCTCCCCAAGGGCTGAATTCGCTTGATATTCGTCTCCGCAACGGGCTCGTTTCACAAATTGAACCTTAAAAACGACCTGGTAAACTTCGAGCACGCCGCCGCTGTCGATATCGAATTCTCCGACATTTTTTAAACAATCTAGTACGTTTCTAACGATGATAGTAATTTTTCAGCCACACCAAGTACCTCAAAAATTTCATAAATTCAAAGATTTATATTTAATGAAATTAGAATTCATTTCTAATAAATTGTCTTCCTTCTATTAAACTTCTTTATGATAATCGAATAAATTTGCAACGAACACAGTCTGGTGTTAGAGCTATGTTTTTACTTTTTTTTTTGCTGTGACTAACGTTAATTAACTAACGAGATACATAAATTATGTGAAAGACACGTGATCACAACGAAATTCATCCAAACGCTACTGCCGCGCCATCTGGTTTATTCGAAAACTATGCGCACTAAACTGTATTTCAACAAAACAGAATGTTTCGATACGATTCACATATAATTACCCTACTATACTGTTGTTGTCTCGAAAACGTTATTATTGTTATTAATAGAATGTCAGATTTATCCTCGAATAAAATTAACCAAGCTTAATTTTGCTCAATAGACGAACGATTTCAATAATTAGCATTCGAATAATATTAGGGCGCCAGCTTTGTTGCTTGAGAATATGCGAATGCAATGCAATTTAATTATATATCATATTATACTCTAACAAATGTTTGTGTTGTATATATTAATATTTTATTTGCAGATCAAGCCTTGAAAATCCTTATAAGATGTAAACAAAAGATTCATGATCAAAGAACAAGCGAGAAACTCAGAACATNAATCAAAGAACAAGCGAGAAACTCAGAACATGGCCCTCTATGAAGTGATGCTTCAATTAAAACCTGGAGATAGCCTCGCCACGTAAACCAGAGTATCTATGACTCAAACATTTAATTGAATTATTCAAAATTAAATGCATAATAGGTATTGAATACTTTTTGTCGTTATTGATTACAAAATTGATTCGTACAAAATGATTACGAGAGGAATATGTTCATGTTTTTAGAGAGATACCTATCGTGTTGTAAGACGAATGACGAATTGATCTGTACGAGAGCGTACAATGACTAAGCAAATTTTTCCTGAAAGCGTAAAAGCTAGCGGAAAATCGAAGCCTCGGTGGCTGCTCGATGTTGGAACTTGAGAAATTTCATCATTTGGGAAACCTATGGATGGAAAGCGTTCTATAAAAATGGTATGTTGCAATACCATCGCATACATTGTCCTCTCCTATGTTTCCTTTATGTTTTACGTAGCTATTCGAAATACACAACTATGACACGCAGAAAATTAAACTTACATTAATTCCCCTTTTTTACTACCTTCCATGAGCGTTATTTCCTTCTTAATAAAGTTTTTTCTGGTAATGGCACCAGCATCTCTTATATAACCATGTAAATTAGGACAATCTCTATTTATCTGTATAGGATCCTCTTTCACCTGGCCCCTGTTTAGATATTAGTGACGATGAACTGGTGACTATATCAGTCAGAGATTTGAATAGGCAACTTAAATTACGTGGTTTATCAAGAGAAGAAATAGTACGTATGAAACAACGTAGACGTACGTTAAAGAACAGAGGATATGCAGCCAGTTGCCGCATTAAGAGAATTGAACAGAAGGATGAGTTAGAGTCAGAGAAGTCACAGGAATACCGGGATATGGAAACTATGCAAGATGACAATAACCGCATGAGAGAGGAAGTAGAGTCTTGGCACTCAAAATACCAAGCATTGAAGAAATTTGCAGCAGAGAAGAAGATTCACATTCCACCAGAATTGGAAACTATTTAAAATAGATCACAATGCTTGATGCACTGGGAAGTGACAAAAGTATTGAATAATTAATAAATCTATATGAAATTTACATAATGTTTAAGAGTTGCACCCTGAAGCAGTTGAAATGCAGATAAATATTATAGTGCACTTGTGCATTATATTAATTATAAACTGATTTAAGATGCTGAAAAAACTATAACTAATATGTAAAATCATATACCTATGTATGGATCGGTTTTATTTGTATTAAAAAAATCGAATGTTTTTACATAGAATATGTAATTGAATCTGTCATTTTCTCACCAGTATTTTCTATATTTATAGAAAAATATTGTACTTCTGTAGTATAGATTTATACAAATTGCTTTTCAGTATGCAATAAGAATATTAATCTGCTAACTACATATGTATTAATTGAATTACCTAGTAGTCTGTATTTTTGTTTTTTTGTGATGTGATCAGGAAATGTAAAATCTTCTGGGAAACACATTAGTCTGCAGATTTCCCTAGGTGTAAAATATCTCAACTTCAATTTTTCTAGTATCTCTAATGCTTCTAACGTTTCGCGACTGTATTTACTCGCTGCTAAATATGCTTCTTTAATCACTTCTTCCGAGTATGGACAATACACAGATCCTGTACCTTCTGCATAATGGCCATAAGCTTTTGTAAAACAGCAGGAACCACTACTTTCAGAGGTTCTTAAATCTAACACCCAAGCTCTCTTTTGTAATAATTTACTTGGTACCAGGTACTGTACATCCTCAACATTTTCTAAAATTTTATCTAACACGTAACAATCCTTATTACTCTCCATATCTTGAATACATCTTTCTCCTAAGAATTTATGCTTCCTCCTTGTTAAAGTTTTTAAAATATCCTCTGGTAGATCAAAATTTAATGTAGCATTATCAAAACAAAATTTGAGATTCTTTTTCTTGGCTAGCAGGTAATATCTGTGTCTACTATTTGGAATACCAAGCTGACAAGGGCTTAAAATCAGTTCTCTGTAATAAAACTCGGAATTATTCAGACATTTTAGTACTGCATTTCTCATTTCAGACTTCTCAAATCCCTTTACATTCTCTAGCAAAATATATTTCAATGTTTTTATTTTTGGTATGAGTTCAAGTACATAGAGTAATGAAGAAGACCTATTATCGGATACATCTTTTTGGAGGCCTATCCTTGTATATGGTTGACAAGGAGGACTCATTAATATAGTGTCTATATGCAGACTATTTATTTCATCTGCAGTAATTGACTGAATATTGCGATTCATGAGACAAACATGTGGAAAATTGTGTTTGTACACATCGTTTGCAACAGTGTTTATATCAATTGCTGTAACACAGTCCCCATTAACACCACTTTCTGGAAATACAAATAATTATTTTATATTTATTTATATCTAATGGAGAAACCACATTGACTAATGTAGGTTAGGTGTTTCTAAACAATATATGTCTGTACAGGTAATAACAGAGTGTCTTACCTTGAAACGCGTAATGCATTCCCCCGATACCACTATATAATTCTAGCACTCTCATGATTAATGATTCATTTGAAATTTCTTAATTATAGATATTCTGGCACGTATGTTGTTAATTGTCAATAAACTCATCTGCTCTAGTATCGACGTGTTTTCATCGTTCTTTGACAACTTTGTTTCATACGTATTGGTAGGTACAATCTAAATAAATTTTGATTCGCAAAAAGGGAAATACACTTTGATTCATATTTAACGCACTTTCGTACACGAAATCTATAGAAATAATAACGGCAACTGACAACGAAGTAACCTAACATGTGATTCCATAGTCCGTTCAGTAATGGAGGCTGGGCTACGTTTTGCGTCGCGCAAAATTCTACGTGTGTGATCTAACATTACCTCGAAAAACTGTTTATGGTACGAGAAAAAAATGTATAAGAAAAGTAAGTGTAAATTTGCAAGTAACAGAGTAATTAGTTATTAAAACAATGATAAGAATGCTCAATGCGAAAACAAGAAGTCTAACCTGAACAATGTGTTGACTTTTGGCTCTATTTTGATAATTGTTTCGACGTTTACGAAGATTTCAATGCGCAAGGATTCGCATGAAAAAACCCCTATGATCCTAATCGTATTAACAAAGATTGATACTCTTCCTTAGCGATAAAAGATAGCGAAAAATGAATTTATCGCAGGCCACCACCCAAATGCGATCGCAATATAATTAAAAAATGTTTCGAAGCCGAAGCTGGTTTGGAGGAGGGCTCTGGAAGCCCAAGAATCCACACTCTTTGGAGCACCTCAAGTATGTATACATGTTACAATATCTGCGTTTTATGCTTATTATCTTGTTGTCCATAGGTATTTGTACAATGTCCTATCAAGGAATCAGACTGTGTCTGAGAATAATAGAGGATTATTGGTAGAGATTCTCCGTTCTATAGCTGAAATTTTAATATGGGGTGACCAAAATGATAGTAGTGTATTCGAGTAAGTATAATTAATAAGAGCATTCACTCAACATCAATTTTTTTTGTATTACAATTAATAGTCTTATTTCCTATCCCTAGTTTCTTTTTGGAGAAAAACATGCTTTCATTCTTTTTACGAATTATGAAACAAAAATGTGGAAGCTATGTATGTGTTCAATTGCTACAGACACTGAATATATTGTTTGAAAATATACGTAATGAGACTTCCTTATGTAAGTTCTTGAAAGAATTATTTCTTGTACATATTGATAGATAAGCTTAGTCGAGACCTTCTGAATTTGGAGTATTCGAATGCTAAGGTATTCCTTTCTGTTTTAGATTACTTGCTCAGTAATAATCATGTAAACAGTATAATAGTGCACAAATTTGACTTCAGTGATGAAGAGGTGATGGCATACTACATCAGTTTTTTAAAGACCTTGAGCTTGAAGTTGAATGCTCATACTATTCATTTCTTTTATAATGAGGTAAACGAGGTACACGTGATAATTCTCTGTGTCTATTTTTTCACTGTAGCTAATCTCATGTCCATTAATTTTAATAGTGGCTGCCTGAGATATATATATTTATTCTTTTGATCTAACATTAAAAGCTTTATATATGCCTATAGTGTTTAATCAGTTAATATTATCTCCATTATTGTGATCATTGATTCATCTTCATTTTTTAAGTTGCACTAAACACGTATAAAAAAAGGATATTGTTTAATTTGATTTTTTTATCAGCACACCAATGATTTTCCATTGTATACGGAGGCAATCAAATTTTTTAACCACTCAGAAGGTATGGTTCGTATAGCGGTGCGAACCCTAACTTTAAATGTCTATCGTGTAGAGGATGCCTCCATGCTCGTGTTTATAAGAGACCGCACTGCTGCACCTTATTTCAGTAATCTTGTATGGTTTATTGGCGATCACATTATAGAGCTTGACACCTGTGTCAGAAACGATGCCGAGTAAGTGAGATAAAAGTTATTAATGAAATGTAAATAGCTCTATTGAAGAGAGACTTCTTTACATATACGCACGTATATACATAACTTCATATATGTTTCAGTCATCAAAGTCAAAACAGATTATCGGATTTGGTAGCTGAGCATTTAGATCATTTGCATTACTTAAACGATATTCTTTGTTTAAATATACCCGACTTGAATAAAGTCTTGTCTGAACACTTGCTTCACAAATTATTGGTTCCGTTGTACGTTTACTCGCTTACAAAACATAAGAATCTTTTGTGCCAAAATCAGGTAGGTTTCTGATAACCATTATATAATGACCATGTCCAAAGAAATAACTTTTCCTTTTTATTAATAGGATGAGAGAAAACATGTAAGCATTGTAGTAGCACTGTTTCTACTTTCTCAAGTGTTTCTTATAATCTCCCATGGCCCTCTTGTACATACTTTAGCAGCAGTAATATTGCTGTCAGACTTAGAAACTATTCAAACAGGTGCAAGCAAAGTGCTCGAAATGTACGGTGATATTACGTCTATTAAGTCAATTGGTTTTTCACCTCCAAAAGAAAGTTTAGAAAAGTCTCTAGAAAATTTGAGCGAATCCTTAAATGTGTCCGACGATCTTTGCGAAGAGGGGTGCGTTGTAGAAGAAGGAGGAGATGATAGTATGGTCAACAGGATATTAGACACCAATTATCCTAGTACATCGTTTGATACTACTTCAATAAGTGATACACCTGTACTAATGAGTCCAGAACAACTAGACATTAGCATTCCACATGATAATCTAGAAGACATCAGATATTTAAATGTAACTGATGAAGAGAAAGAACAGAGACTTGCACTGGAAAGCCCCTTGATACCCGAAACGCAAAACAATCTAAACGAATCTCTGTCAAATAAGCTATTTCTAGAAACTATCTTGAACTCGTTGTTTTGCACGGAAAATGATTACGCTGCCCTGTTTGCGTTATGTTTGCTTTATGCTCTAGCTAACAATCAGGTAAGAGAATGACTCTAGTAAGACTATATATTGATAAGATGATACAATTAATTTAACAAAAAAATTTTTTTTAGGGCATTGACCGTAAAACTTTGGATCCAATTTTAAGCAGTTCACAAGGCTCTACGACGAGCTTCTATAATGAAATTTTAATAGATAGACTAATTCATATTATAACGTTAAGTTGTCAAACAAGTGAGTTCATTTCCAGAGTAAACTTTTTTAATTTTCCAAGATGTAATATTCATGAATAATGTTTTTGGTGTGTTATAGGTGTGAAAGTGAGACTTGTTACGCTGGAATTGGCGATTAAGTTGTTAATGCAATTAGTAATGTCGGATGGACAAACAGTGTTAAAAGACTCGCATTTGGCGGCTATCGAAACGGCCAAAGAGCAGAGTACTGCGTTGTTAAAAAATTTTTATAGGGTACGTTGCAACAGTTATCTAATTACAAAATTAATTGCGACACACAAATCCAAAGACATATGATTTATGATATTTATAGAGCGAAGACATATTCCTAGACATGTTTGAGGATGAATATAGTGAAATTCAAAAGCGACCCTTGAACGTTGAATGGTTGATGATGGACAGTAACATTTTATTACCACCGACAGGTACTCCGATGACTGGTATTGAATTTACCAAAAGATTACCGTGCGGCGAAGTGAGTGTAATCATTAGAAATATTTTCATTTGTCAAATATGTTCTGTATAGAATATAAGTCGTTAAATATATTGATAGAAAATCAAATTATCATTTAAACAGGTGGAGAGAGCTCGTCGCGCTATAAGAGTATTTTTTTTAATAAGAGAATTATCCTTAGCTATTAACATGGAAGTGGAAACGCAGTTGCCCTTAACAAACCCGGTCAATTGTGTTCAAGTGGATAATGTTCTTGACTTAAGTAAACATTATTCTTTTCCTATCGCGTACATAGTATTTTTAAATGTTACTTCTACTTTGATTTATTCACAGATAATAGCGATTTGATCGCCTGTACGGTTGTGTGGAAAGACGGTCAGAAAATTCGACGTTTTCTAGTCATACATATTGTGCAATTAATCCTCGTAGAACCAGACACTAGCAAATTAGGCTGGGGAGTGGCACGATTAGTGGGCTTTTTACAAGACATTGAGGTAGCAGGTGACAAAGACGATTCTAGATGTTTACACTTAACGATTTACAAACCTTCGAGTAGTTCGACCGGCAATCGTGTTCCTTTGCTATCAACAAAATTTATCTTCGACGATCACATTAGATGTATGGCTGCTAAACAAAGGTATATCTTCACTCTAAATATACATGCATCAGTTCATAGCATGGACTTCATTCATTCTTTGACTTTAAGGCTAACGAAAGGTCGGATAAAGGCACGGCAAAAGAAGATGAGTCAGATCGCGAGACTGTTAGACATTCCCACAAGTACGCCCCATTCATCAACACCACCGCCAAATTATGCTCTACGGGGCATGCGACATGAACGTATGTTACAGGAAAACTGCTATTAGCTCATATCATTTAAATAAAAAAGACTGATATGATTACTTAATCTTAGGTTTAGTAGGACGTGGACAAAGACAGAAGGAACCGCGACCAATGTTTATAGTAAACAGAGTGCCCGGATTCGCGGCACAAATGCGCAGGGAAAACAATGCAGCACCTTCATCAGTTCCCAGGCGCAGTGATAACTCAAATGAGAAAAGCCAAGAGAACGGTTTGCGATCTCGAGATAATTCACCGAAAATGCCGAGGCCGCGAAGCGAAGAGATTCCTCTGGAGGATATGCGTCTACGGAAAGCAGCTCTAACATCTGCTGCATTGAGTATATCAAATATGTGTCAGGAGAAGAAGGATGGTCAAATCTCTGCGTGTTCAACAAATGGCGAACCCTCGACTGTGATCAGAAAACATTCGGAAGAGACATCGTTTACTTGCCCGAAGGAAACGAAACCGCGTAAGAAGGGTCAAGTGGAGACAGTATGATTGTGAGATAGAAAGAAAGCATACAGATTGAATTGATTTTTTTTTAAAGGATATAAGAAAGACGTGGGGATGTATTTGCGATCTTGAATTAATGGAAGAAATCTTTGATCTATGTAATAAAAAGGTTTTACTACAGGTACTTTCTAAATGATGACTTGAAAGACATCCCATGCTTCATCGTTTTTTCAATAGAATAGAGAATAAATTGGAGTTAATCTTGTAAAAAAAAAACACACGGTATTATGATTTCAGTAAAAGGTCAATCACTGGCGAAACTATTTATCTTCAGTTCCTTTCTATTGCATAACGATAACATATAAGTATTTGTATATACATTTTTATTCAACACATCATGTGTTATTAGATAGTTCGTTTTCGCTGTATAAATAGTACAATTTTCCACTAGCAACTTTCCAATCAAGTCTTGTACTTGAAATTTCTAGAACTCAAAATATATACTGAAGACAAAAAATCTTTCTTTCACAATATCAGGTATTCGAATTCTGAGAATCGAACAATTCTCTACTGTATTCAGGAATATTTATTTTTAAATTAATATTGTAGTTCGAGGAAATGTTAATGCTTATCAGAAAATTGCACATAAAATTTACTAAATAAATGTTTATGTTATATATTATTAATACAATTATCTTTCTGCTAATGAATCATGTCAAATAAAGGGTATTTGTTAACTGTTTGTAGGCTGATAAGTTGGTACTATTAGTACGGACAAGTAACTTATCATTTAAAAATAAAAAAAGAATGTCTCCATTTATAATCACGTGTTTCATGTGGAAAATATCTCTGTCGTTTAACAAAATTTCTAATCTGAAGCGGTCAGTTGCATTTCATTCCTAACATAATGAAAATAAACACTTGTTTCAAGTATTAAAATCGTTGACGCCAATTTAAAATAAAAATTTATGTTAAATTGGAGGTTTATCTTAAATGCATTTCTAATTATCGATATATATCTACCCAAGTCTCTTTAATCAAAAGAAATTAACTCCGCTGTTTCAGGCTTCGGGTCTTCTTTCACTTGCGCGGTTTCATTTGATGTAGGTGGCATCGGTTTTGGTGGTTGATATGGCAATTGTTGCCCTTGAGAAACCGGATTTGGTGGCATGCCTTGAGGCATGACAGGTAAATTAGGTCCTTGCGGACCTTGCATCGCCTGATTCGATGTTAGGATTGGTCCAGGTACAGTTCCCGGCGGCATTTGAATAGGACCTGTTTCTTGAGCCGAGATAGAAGGGTTGGCAACGTGAGAAGGCATGGAAGATCCTTGAGATCCTGGTTGCTGGGGGCCCACTTGAGGCGGAAGACCAACCACTTGACCCGGTGGACCATGCGTTCCAGGTCCCATTTGTGTGGGAGGAGGAGCCATGTGGCTTTGAGGAGGTCCCTGAGGTATAACCATTTGACTTGGTGGTGGTCCTGATTGCGCGATCGGTGGAGGACCCTGTTGCGGTGGCATATGCCCTGGTGCAGATTGTTGCATATGCCCTGGCGGTCCTGGTGGTCCTGGCTGAGTAGGAGGTGGTCCCATTGGATGTCCACCTGCCTGTTGTAGTTGCGGTATGGGATTTGTCATTTGAGGCATCTTCGAAGGAGACGTACAAAAAGATTAAGTAAAACATAGAAGAATATTTAATACATGCTAAATTATCTCAGTGATAAGAAATAAATGTAAGAAAGTTTAAATTATACACACCATGCCAGGACCGGAAACAGTAACTCGACCCAAGGCTTCATGCCCCTGTACAGAAGGATCATTCGGTTGCTGTTCTTGATTAGCTATTGGTCCCATCATGTGTGCTGGCATTGTGTTCATTGGAGGCATATTGTAACCTTGCATTGGGTATTGTTTCACAGTAGGTTGTCCGTATATATATCCTTGATTGGTTGGCGACATGGGATTGTAATTGGTTCCGGGACCTTGATACTGAACATGGCGAACGGGTGAACCTTGAGACGGCCCCATGTAACCCGGAACAGCTTGATAACCACCTAAAGTTGATGTGATAAAATAAAGAGCAGCTGGAAATACTTCGATCAACTTACCCATTATGTACTGCTGCTTTTGCTGTTCTTGTCTCATTTGCATTTCTCTCTCCTGCTCTTGAATTTTCTGCAGAGCCAATTGCCGCTGATACTGCAGATATTCTTGTTTCTTCTTCCTCATAATGGCTAACTTTTGAGCCATCAGCATTTGTCGCTGTCTTTCAGCTTCTTCCGCTTGTCTTCTCAATTTTTCTTTATGTTCATCCCGCAAAGCATCCAATGCAGCCCTAGCGTCCTTCATTTGCGTCAGTTTATCCTGAAGTCCTTCATAATATACTCTGCTATCGTCTTGTTCTTGGATATATCTCAATAATCTGTAGAGATTTAAACATTCAAATTGAGTTTCAGTTCGTTAATAATTTGACATAAATTTAGCATGTATTTCAAGACGAACCTTGAATGCATAGCAGTGATATTTAAAAACAAAGTTTGAACAGAACTATCGTTAGCAATCGATCTGCCTCGAGATGAATTACTCTTCATCCTATTGACAAATATTTCTACTTGTGATCGCAAAGCACTGACGAATTCCTCCATTTGGCTATCAACTTCTCCGTTTTGTTGCTTCGCGATCACAATTTTCTGTGGCATTGGACTACCGATATTTGGAGCAGACGGACTCGTAACATCCACCCGAGAGACGTGCTCTTCTATCGCTGTTTGTCTTTGTTCCCAATATTTTCGATTTAAATATTTAGCGAGCTCGGGATCGATGTCTTCTTCCTCTTGCAATTTCGATGGACTTGGGCCCTGAAAAGTAGAAGCTAGTATAATTCTTTGTTGGAGCTTCTGCCAAGTGACTAATTAAAACACTAACGGGTGACGGTGGTGGAGAATACGTTGTCCTATTTATAGTATTTGCATTCGTTTTTATTGTATTAGTCGTTCGTTTCTTTTCTTTCTCCTTGAGTTCCGCTTCACTTTGACTTAAGGCAATAGCAAGATTCAGTTCTTCTTCCTCCTGAAGCTCTGCTGCTGTTTTTTTAGGAGGCACCTGTTGTTGCTGAGCCAAGGAACTGTTTAGATACTCAGCAGGTAAATCAGCTTCTTTGATTTGCACCGAGGTTGGTCTACAAAAATATATTGGAAGAATTAGGAATAACAACAGGAAATTAAAAGACATTTGTGCTTACTTGTTCACTTGCTCATAGCAAGCTTCGCAAACTCGAACTTCTTTTTCAATTCCAAACTTGGGCAATGTCGATGCTTTGCTCGAACATTGATCACAAAATACTTGACCACATGCTCTACAGTGATGTTTTCTCAGTATCAAACCGAAAGAGACTCTACAGCGGTGACAGACATTAGCATCAGCCCACACTGGTGCAGTATCAGCAATGAACATTGCATCGCTCTCTTTCAAAGCAGGAAATTTATATCCTTCAGCTTTCATAATATTAAGTGTATCCTGTAATATTATTGGTAATATTTAACTTTGTGATATTAACGAGTTTTATATGTAACAGGACATACAAACATACTTGTACTGCTCTAAACTTGGGGCTATTACGAAATGCATGTGCCCAGGCTTGAATCAATTCTAAAGTCTTCATCTTAACATTATCATGAGTTGTTGTTTTTACTAGTTCTTTAAGTTGTTCCATATATTGTTTTGTACCGACTTCGTCATGAATTAATGTACCACAATTTTTAACACAAGATTCTAGAACCTGCATTTTAAAGAAGCATTTAAGATTTTATCATTTAATTAATAATCTTTTTATTAAAATAATTAGCTTAGTATTTCTCACCAATAGAGCATACAAAGCTACGTGCGGATTATCATTTGTCATTTTCTTCTTGATTGCTGCAAGTGCTGCCTTAGGTCTACGTACATACAAAACACAGCATTTCACTTTCTTACATAGAGGTATCAAATAATTAATCATAGAAGATCATTTGTTACTTATTTTAATAAAATAGACAAGAGGAAAAGAGGAGAAATGTTAATGAATTTTAGTAACATTTTGCCGAAAATACAAATCAAGTGCGAAATTAATGTAACGTTAGTTATTGCTGGATAAAACAACTTTTTTATCGTAAATAGAAATTAAATAGGTTAACTGTAAATTAGATGACATTTTACACTCACTGTATATCGCCCTGGCGAATTAAATCACATATTTGTAAAATTGGGACCCAGTCAGGCTCGAGCTGTAAATAACTCGTCGCTTTATCTGCAAAATGTTGATTAAAATCATGAATCTGGAAAGTCGGACATTTTGTTGGGTTGACATTGTTAATAAAAACGTACCTAGTAATTTGTCAAAGTTAGAACTACGAAACATTTTGTTGCACCAGGAACAATTTATAATCGTAGTATTTATAATCGCTCTCTTTGTTCAGGTCTTTTGCAATTATCTGGACAATTAACTTGCAAAACGAAGTCTGACAACCACCTATACCGTCGATGGCACTGCTATACTGACATATAGCAAAATATGAGTCACGTCTCACGTCGTAAACGGTTAAAATGGTTATCCACCGCAGTCCGACAATCCAATAGTCAATGACTAATATGTATTGTACTTTTTTCTTATTGATTCCTATTCTACGATGTACACAAAAAATTTTAGACAGACGAGGAATAAATTCAAATTTTCAGTGTTGTCAGATCGTTTGTTGTATTCTCCTGGATCAATATTGCGAATTAACAATTATCATCAGTAATGTATAGAACATCGCTTTATTGGCAATTAAAGAATTCATTTAAATTAATTATTATTGATGTTAAAATAGTCGACGGGCTTTAATGTTTGTACTCGATTAAAAATAAGACGCGCAATAAATTAATAAAAGGATTATTCAGGCACCAATCGAATCGATATCATTGAAATTTCTAAAAATACAATAATTTTTCGATTTTATAGCACGAAATCGACGCATGGAGTAATAAGAAAAAGCATTTTAATAAAAATCAATTTAGGAGGTATTTCAGTTCTTCTCTGTTTTCAAGTTTCCCACTTTCTCAAGAAGATGGCACCACCAACCACGTTCAGTGTCCATTTTCATTTTTGAATTTAATAATTATTTCTTGTGCTATTTCTAGTCATGTTATTTTAATATTCTTATGTGACTACTAATGAAACAATTTATCATAAAAAACCGGATTATTAATATTTTAATTTTTTTACGAACAGCTTAAAGGATTGCTTCTCATTGGATTCTTTTGAAATTAATTTGCAGTAATTAATAATCTGTAAAATTCACAGTTTAAGGAGTTCGGGTTTTAAAAAGGACAAAAACACAGCGCGTTGAGAATCTTACCGTTTATTTATATCAGTTCGTAAAGAGATCTAATACAAACGCACTCGGTACTCATGCACAATTCGACAATTATACTGTATAATAATCTACTCTAAATTACGTGGAATCCGTCGAACTTCCTTATTTTCGACATTTAAGTATCTAGCACCGACGTCGTCTCGCAATCTCGACGTTGCGGAGCGACGTTAAGAAATTCCAGGGGAACCGGGAGTTCTAGGAGTACCAGAAGTGCCAGGAGTGCCAGGGGAACCAGGGGAACCAGGAGAACCAGGAGTACCAGGACTACCAGGACTACCAGGACTACCAGGACTACCAGGACTACCAGGACTACCAGGACTGCCAGGACTACCAGGACTGCCATGGCAGTTACAGATGAGATTTCCTGCTTCCATCAGCTCCGGCAATTACTGGAGCGTAATTACTTATAATTACAGATAAGAAATCGGGGAGGGTGAATTAATGAATTCACAGCCGACTGGCATTATCGCGACTAATTAATGTCCGCTCCCGTATCCGTGTATTAAATCTTTTGGCGGCCAGTGCTCCACGAGTTTACACGATCGCGATTAAAATCGGCCGTGGCGCATTACGGAACTTGGAATTAAACTGGCGCGTGTTATCATTTCTATGTTTGGGATAACACTCCCCCTCTGTACTTGGTCGACGGTAATTCGGGACGTTCGATGATACCTATAACACAATTTATCTGGCCAGGCGTCCAATAACCATTGATTACACGTCGGCTATTAACCATTCTATGATTTATTCGCGGTCGCGGGTTCATCCGGGCGATGTTAATTAAAATGCTGCGGAATTGGCGTATTACTGCCAGAACGATTCTGTAATTGCAATCGGTGCAACTTCTCCGAGGGAGAAAATTACGTTACAATTTATCTCCGGCTGCTCGAACTTGCAAACGTGTAAATCGATTTATAAATAGACACCCTTTGTCGTGAACTGGTCCTAATTGTTTAGCGCTGCGTCCATGATTGTACTCGGTGATTTTTTAATTTTGAAGATCGTAGATTTCTAACTTCTCCCCCCGTAGATGAATTTATCTTTTGAAGGTACTTGGTGGTTCCTTCTCTAGCGTCTCGACAGTTCCAACAGCCGATACTTTTATCTCGATTGGTATTGCCGGGTCTCTTAATTGACTTTTCGAGGGATCGATTATGCGAACTGTTCGACGAATGTGAGAAATCGGTCCTGGGAACTTCCGGATATTTTAATTTCGACGGGTTTGTCGTCGGTAACCTCCAGCCGAGCGACTCCGAAATGAGGTTTCATGACATAAGGATGGCACCACTCCTCGGCCACTGACTCTCAGACGCCACCTTGTCCTCGTTCTAGAGCTGGACACTTCGAAGAATTCCTGAATCAAATCGTAATCAATGAATTACATTGTATGTTTTCGATCGATTAAGTAAAACTGCTCGCTAATTCTATTTTATCCACAACTGGAGCGTTCAACTATGAAATTTCATTGTTGCACAATAATCTAGTATCACAATCCCTCCATTGCAAATTCGATTAATCATAAAAGCTATAATATTGATTAAAGCTCGTTTTACATCACTTTACACAACAATGGAGTCGGAAATTCTCATCACCTCCACTTTAACGAATGTAAATCGAATTTATATGCATCAATCGATAGATATCGAATCGAATATATCACTGCACATTCGAAATTGCAGCTGATTTAACCTTCTTCAATTAAGTCCTTTCTAATTAGCCTTTTTCATAAACTCTGAAAACGGAATATTCATATTCTGGCAAGGAAATCAACAGCAAAAGGATTATGAAAATAATTAAGTAGCAGTTGCGAAGATAAAATTTATAGAAAGTTATTAAATTCGTATCCCTTGATATTCAGACGCGGGGTGTCGTCAAGATAGGTCGCGATGCCCTGCAGATCCACGACAGTATCTTTCAAACTCTGTCGATGCTGTCAGAAATGGCGGTGCCGATGTCTGGTCCCTCGAAAGGGCGTTCCTCCGCCGCCGTTCAACAGCTCGATGAAACGCGACAAGAATATTGGAATGCATCCAAAATTTTATCAGGGCATGTCCGATGCACCTGCTGTTGGTACATACGATCTTCCACCTTTGCCGAAGAAGTCTGCAGCCACGAAGTACGTCTCGACGCTGACGAGCTTTTAAATGGAAACACTGAGAAATTCTGTTAACGTAATTAGTTGGAAAAAAGAGCTGGAGAGTGCAGAATTTTCTGCGACAATGGGAGGTAAAATGCTGGACAAATACATGGTGGAAAGGGAACGAATGCGGACAGGGCTAGGTCCTGGAATCCATGAAATCTCTCAGTGGCCCGACGATGTCATGGAGAAACCCTGCAAAAGTGTGAAGAGGAACGTGGGTTTTGGAACCGTGGCTCGGTTCAAACCTGCACTGAAATTTGACACCCCTGGACCAGGTAAAACTATTCATAGACCAATGTACTAGTGCTTGAACAATTTTTTAGTCAACGTTGCTAATTGTCCGTCTTGTTCAGGGTACACAAGAAAGAATCCCTATCACTATCTGGACGAAAGGAAGCGATTAGGATCGTCCTGCGTGCCTACTTTCGAGTACGATGGTCTGCAACCTAGATTTGCCAGAACTTCGAAGCCCTGGAGACTGCCATGCAACTTGTACTCGAAAACGATCCTCAATCTTTATCAAACAATTATTGAAAAACACGTAAGCATAATGATTCTCCAAATAGGTACAAGGTGAGACATCCGGACACCTTTGAAGCTTTCCTACAGAAAGTCACTGGGAAAAGGGGACCGTACGATCTCTTCACAGGTATTCGTAATTCAGAATGAAGGTTAGATGATTTCGCGATTAATAAATCGTATTTTTTCCTAGGACGGAGGGACGAGAGCTCCCTGATAGGCTATCAGAAGCGCACGAAGTTGGATGATCACGGCGACTGGCCTAGATCGTTGCCAAGCGAGCTCGACAAGCTGTTGCACAAGTCGAACTATTTTAAAGGACGCTGGACCACCTGTCCGAGGTAGTCTCAGCAGATTTACGATCGTCGAGTGTCCGAGACGTTCGAATGCTTCGGAGGAAAATCTAGTTTCTACGAAACTTAGGAGATCTAGCTTTTATCGTTCTCCGACAGATTTCCCAAGATGTCGGGGCTGAGATTGGTGCTGCAGGAACTCGCGTTATCCTACAAGGACCCGAAGCATCCAGGACCTGGTCACTATAGTCCCAAATCGCCCAGGAAGCCAAAGAACGCGAAGAATTATCCATTCGACAGCAACATCGACTTCGTGAGACCAGGACCTCCGTTCAAAATTCATCCTGGACCAGGAAGATATGATACCGAGATCGCAAAGCATGTTCGAGGACACGGTTGGTCGTGGGTGTTCAAGAGCAAAACACCGAGGACGAAATTTATTGTCATTCCTTCCTACAGGAGCTTCTGATATGGGGAAATATAAATGAAAGTTTAGGCATCTTACTTCTTCTTCTAGAGCATGCATCGGTTGATAAGTGACAGGGAGATTCAGGATCGATCCGGTCTCGATCGTCTTCCCTGGAGGCACGAAGAACGATCCATGCGGACTCAGGAGGCTCACGTCTACCTTGACGCTCCTGAATAAATTTAGAAAAATAGCTCGGTACATTGAATCTTCATTGCCAACTGCGACTACTCGAACACACTTCGTGGAAATGTTCTTGATCCGCAAGATCTTCCTGGAAGAAGTTCCAATGGCCGTCGGTCCGAATGATATATCGAGATGTTTATCCAGGATCGTGATCTCCGGTCTCGTGACAGGACACACCAACTTCACGAATAACAGTTCTTCTCTCTTCTGTCCATCTTTCGTCGTCAAATCGATGAAACAGGTAGCAAAGATCGCGAAGACTCTGGGCTCAAAATTCTCCAGCAAGGACGCTTCTTCCGCCGATTTGTCGACATCAGGAATCTCTTCGTTCTCGTCCGTTTTCTTCTTCTCCTTCTTGCTCTCTTTCACAGAAGAAATCAGTGTTTCAGCCGAGCCAACAATTTTAATCAGTCCGATGAAGAAGAACTCGAGGAATCGCGAACGATAAATCTTGAATTTACTTTGACCGCTTGGCTCCTTCGATCCATCTCTTTTCTTCGATTTCTCCGGCTTCTTCGACTCATCAATCTTCGGCTCGCTGCCCGGCAGTCCCGGCTCGAACACGAAGAAGACCTTGACGAACTGTTTGCTCTTCAGGGTGCCACGCTGCGGCGTTATCTTAACGCTACCGGAGGAACTCTTGAACTCGAAGCTCGCCGTGAACTCCTTCTCCTGGTTCTTCAGGATCCCGCAAGTGCAGCCAGGGTAGGAGGCCATGTTGTAGCCTCGCAGATGCACCGAGACCTGAGTCAATTTATTATTCATTAGCCCCGACGTCTCTCCAGCTATCAAAGTGTCCGTTTTCATTTAGATGTGTGACTGGACTGCTTGCTACCGCGGAAAAAGAGCCGCAAGGTGTTGCAGGGAACTCGAGAATCTGTTCGCTCATCTCGCAGAGCGTGTCCACGATGTGTACATGGACGTTGATCTTGTTCTTCTGCTGCCTCCTGTCCCTCCGATTCAATCTTCTTGAATCCACAGTCTCCTCTAAAATAAATCAGGCAAATGCGTATGGATATCTGGTGGCTAAGAAGACTGCGGTTTCTCTTTAAAGACACTTTTGACTACAGTCTGAGGTAACAATTTGCTGTGAAAAATATTCTCTGATATTTTTTATTTGCGGAGGAGCCGTGTCCTGCCCTCGCGAGCGTGGCCCAGTTGCCCTAACTTTGGTAGAGCCGAATCAGGTCAATTTCTGCTCGTGTTTAATTCAGGATAATTCACCTGGAGCTTTCACCTCCACCGACTCGTCACTGACTACACGATCAGCTGGACTGCTACCGTCCTCGAGGTCTTCGTCGTCGTTCTTCGGTATTATTTCTGTAGGTTCGCGATCATCAGGCGGGGGAAGACCTCGATTCAGTTCTCTCAGCTCACCGATCTTCGCTTCTTTCTTCCGAGAAGCAAGCTCCGCAAGGGTGACTGCTTGAATCTGAAAGCTGGATAGCTAACTGTCCCCTCGAGGATCAGGAGAAGGTTAATCTCTGTATATGGTTCATTAAAATTGAATAACCTGCGCGTGTCGGCCAGCCCATTCGCTCCGATCTCATTTCCAGGGATGTCGGTGCAACGTGCCGAGTAAATCAGATGGAGCTTGACAGTCTCGCCAGGCAGTATAGTCCCGAACCCGTGGTTCGGTTGGATCTCCATGAAGATTGGCAGGGAAAGGAAACCATACTCTTGGATCAAGAGAGAGTCGTTCGTCAGTGTTAATTCTGTGTAGACCGACTCGTGTGTGTACACCGTGCCAAGATTCACCTCTGCAGGCTCTGCGAAAAAAGCACTAGTTTTATGACTATAATTCGCCGGATTCGGGAGATAGATTTCTTAGAATATTGGAGGAACCTAGAATTAAGCCGTGACACGTGGTCAAGGTGGCGAGCACTTTCAATGTCAATGGCGGAGGCTCGGTTTCCTCGCGAGCTATCATTTGCACTTGCAGCGGAAATTTCAGCATGCTGGATACAGGATCGTAAAAACTGAGAACAATGATCGATTAATTGACGGAAGACAGTCTCCATCTTGTCAAGGAAAGTATTTTGTTTACGCAATATTTATGAAACGATAGTTTACTAATTTGTTTATACCTTCTAGACAAGTGCAAAATGGAAGATTCAGGCGTCAACCTAACGCAGATTCGAGAAGACGATTCGGGTTGCAGGATCGTGTTCTTGGGATAAACTACAATCTGATTTCCCAGTTGTTTCGGCGTTTTCGTGGAAATCTGAACACTGGAACGCCCTAAAACTCTCAGGTAATCAATTTCCATCGTCTTCGATTAACATTTAGGTACGCATCGGAACACACCGCTATTGAAAACGTCGAAATTCTGTTGGCAGACATCGACGTCGATCATAGCGATACCAAGATCGATACAGGGTGGATCTACGTGGATCTGGGGACCAGTGACTTCTGCCCAAATCGGTACTGCCTGATCGAAAGTTCTTTATTCATTTATTATCGACGATCTTTTTCTAAATTACTTAAAATAACATTCGTAGGGTACCTGTTTGTGGAATATTCGACTGCAGCGAAAATAAATTTTCATGACTTCGTGGTGCAATCCAATGTGACGCGGACGGAAGGTGATCCTCAGCTGACACTTCACCTTCGATGGGACTTCAATGAGCTTCAATTTTCGTGGTGTATTGCCAGGATCCTCGTTGACCTCGTTATCATCGTTCGTTTCATTTCTGACTAAAAAGTTAAATCGATTCCTAGTCGATCCTGTAATCGCTTATCACCAATTTGTGGATCTTAGAGCAATCGCTAAAGTTTTAAAAATGTAATCAAACACTAAATTCTATAGAAACGAACACGGCCAGAAGAATATTTTGCACAACTTCCGAAGGTACGACTTTGTATAAAAATCCGCAGTCTGTCTATCACTCTGGCTGACTTTGCGAAACAATTACAGGTACTTAAAACGTCGCTGAGGACCGAAGGCGAGGCGGCTAGAATATTTGCTTGGTCGAAGTGCCACAGAAAGCAATCTTCACGGTCGTCTCGCTCTCCGATCACCACGCCAAAGGTTCTTCGACCTTCGTTCGCGATGGTGAGCGTTTTCTCGCCGAATTTAGGGTCGTCGAATTTCCAGGATGGAGCTGTGGGGAACCTGAACGTATAATTACCACTCGTTAGTCTTCCAATGTCTCCATTCTCGTCGAATGTTAAGCGAAAGAGCTCGTTTCGCGAGCTCCAAATTAATTTAGCATCGATTCCTGTCACCTGATCTCCGCTGGATCGACGACAGGCAGAGGTTGTTCGGGCTTGCAGACCACGGGAACACGGAATTCGTGGAAAGTTTTCAAATTATCGGGGCTCAATGTAAGAAAAGAAATCTCTGCTGTCACTTTCTCGTCGTAGATGGGAGAGAATTTCACGTTGATCGTCGAGTGCATTCCCGGATTGACTCTCGCTGCGTCCATAATGTCAATCTGATTTAGAAACGTCTGTCATACTTCAGCTCTTTAACTTCAAAGTCATTTTAGAATCCCTAATTCTAATACTCCGATGATTTCTGGCTCCCACATGTCGGCGTAGACTTTGTTGAACCTTATGTAAGCCCATTTGGAAGTTTTGTTGATGATCTGCACCCTTCGCGAATATTTCTTGCCGGCTTTGTAGTTCTGTTGGAAAGTATCGATCAGTTCTCTTGTGAATCCAGCCTTCGATCAGACGAAATTAATTTTTCTCACGTCGAAAGTGACGATGTTTGGGCTCGAGAAGAAGCAGTTGTCTTTTGGGAATAATTCTGTTTCACTTGAATCGATTTCCTTAACTGGTACAGCTTCCTGAACGTTATTGTTATCCGCGGAAGCATCTTTTTTCTTATGGACATCCTCGGTTGCTTTCTTCTCGTCGCCCTTCGGCTTCTTCGTTTCGTCAGGCTTTGCGGCGACCTCGAAATCTTTTGCTACTTCTTTGCTTTCCTAAAAATCACTTGTATAACTTGAATTAAACTGAAGACACGCGAATAATACCTTCTTCCCAGACTCGGTTTCGAGGTTCTCCAAATTCTGATCGACGCTAATAGTTTCTTCCGAAGGAAATTTCATGGAACTTTCTTCGTCGTTGATTTCACTCGTTGCTTTCCTGAATCTGCAACACACCTTCGTTGGTTGCATCTCTTCGACGATCCTTTGAATGATTCTGATCATTCTCTCCTTTCGAAGTTTCATTTGGTTTCGTTTGTCGAGTTCGTATTTCAAAATCTGTTGTGAAACAATCAAATGAATTTTATTTTCTGTTGGGGACTTCTTTATTAAAGGGAGAAAAGACTGACTTTATCGAACAGTTTGGCATCTGTCGGTAGAACATCGGGAATCCTATATTCTGATCTTATCCTGCAAACAGGGTGATAATAATGAATGCGATAATTCGTTTCTAATGTCAAGATTGCGTTAAAAATTCGAAGTGCACCTCATAATATTTTTTAAACGAATACTTTCATGCAGAAGCATCCTTTCTTTGTAATGACAAGTGAGACCCCATTGTTGGCGCAATAAGCTTGTCTAAAATATCTCTCTGTTAATTAATCAAGTTAATTGCTTTAGCATAGACATATTTTACCCTCAGTTTCGTCAGAGCAGTAAAGAATTTCTCTTTTCTGCACTGATATGCCAATGCTTCTTTCTTCACCGCCTCATTCTTTAATCTAATCGCTCTTAACTTCGTTAATTTCGTCAATCTGTAATCTGTGTTAAAGAAACAACCGTTTGACACCTAATTGACAATGAAATAATTCATAAAGCTTACCTGCACGTGCAGCAGATTTTGCTGCAACCTGCAGCCTCTTCGCTTCGCTCGTTTCGATGGAAACTCTAACCTTTTCTTCTTTATCTTTC